ATCTCCCCAAAACCCCAAAACCCCAAAACCCCTTATGTGCCAGAATATATTGAACTATATTAAACTTCAAAGAGTGAACGTTGGGTGACCAAAGAAGAAGAGTCTAGTGTCCTTCATTCCGCATGTGTAGTTTCAGGTTAAATTCTGAGGAATATTTGTTCTCACATTTCTCACATTTATAACTCTGGATCTTATCTTCTGCAGAGACATGCTTCTTAAGATGTTTCTTGAGGTTGCCTTTTTGAGTAAACTCCTTTCCTCAGATTTTACACCTGAAAGGGTCCTCTTTGGTATGAATTCTGAAATGGTCTACTATATTTCAAGTTTTGGCAAATTCTTTATTTCAGTCATCATATTTACAGATAATTAGCCTCCTGGAACGTTTGCTTTCAGAATTGTATTCAAATTTCAGCTCATATTGATGCCCTTTGAGAGGATATGTATCTTGGCTGTCATCGTTATCAGGTCTATTTTCCTCTTCCTTGCTTTCTTCTTTGGCTTCCTTGTTTCCTCTAGGACTAATATGCTTATTTTTCAGCGAAATTATCGCTGAGGTCAATTGAAGGCTTTGAGCCTCCGATTGGCACAACAAAGTTGTTAAAGGTGAAATGGAAGAAGGCTTTGTCAGGACCTGGAGTCAATTCCTTAGTTTTCTCGACCTTTTCCTCTTTCTCTATGGGCTCCAATCTTCTTTTGAAGTCAAGAGGAAGATCACTGAGCTTACCTTTTGCCAGAGGCTCTGGCTCTGGGAACAGGAAATTATGCTCATGAATAGGCGTGACGCTCATCAAAGGAGGCATGTTCTGGGGTTCAAATCCATTTCCATGGTTAATGGAGGATGTGTTGATCTATAATGAAATTTAAACTAGGCCAAACTCCTTAATTACTCTGTTTAATCGGACTAAGATATCCTCATAATTATTCAAAGTGGGTTCGAAGCAATTCGAGTCACTATTTTTGGTATTATGCTGGTCCTCAGGAGTTAACAGGTTTTCCTGATTAGCTTCCATAAGTTATCAATTATAATATAGTATTTCAATCAAATTTAGTCATGTTGGGGTTTTGGGGTTTTGGGGTTTTGGGGTTTTGGGG